AAACTAATAGCAGTATGTTTTTTGTTTTTTTGTAAGAAAAACAAAAGTTAAGCTTGCTCCAAATGAAAGCACTTTTCAAATGACATTTTTTTTTCCTTATTAAAAATAAATCCCTGTACACTATAGGATCATCCTGTTCTAGAAAAGCTGTGCTCCGAGGAAAACACTACATCTGTAGTGCAGATCATGTCTGAAGAAGAGGTTTCCGAGTTTAGGAAGCCGTCAGAAGAATTCGCCGAGCTCCTGTCATCAGAAGGGAGCTTCACCAGCAGCGAACTGGTAGATGGAAGCCCGGGGACAGAAATCTTTCCAGACTACGTGACTCTCAACAAAGACAGTATCTTTCTCTGCTCACCAGCAAACATTTACATACATGAGCATGTGACAGAGAAAGGAAACCATGAGATAGGAGATGAGTACCTTCCCACGTGTTCCTGCTCTGATGGCTCCGTCTGCTTCTCACCTTGCTTATGCAGTGACCTTCTTAACCATTCATATTTGCCTCTGGCAGAGCCTGCAGAAAAATTCAGCTGCAAGGTCACTGCTGCAAGGAGTCCCGGAAACATCTATACTAACTTTCCATAAGAAGAACAAAAAGTGTAGCAAGTGTTTGGTTTTTTTTGTTTGTTTGTTTGTTTCCATCAGTGCAAATCTTCTGTACAGTAATCTCTGCCCTTTGTACTGTTTGGCTGTAAAAAAAAAAAAAAGGCTACAAAATGAAAACAGAGCTCAGCTATGAATTATTTGAGCCTTAACCCATTGTTTGGCCCAAGTAAAGAAGCGATTCCACAAAGTCGTCATCAACGGTCAGCCCTGATATGTAGTCTTTTAGGATCAGATGGTATCAGATTTGGAGTTTAAGTTTTTGGTTGGCAGGATTTTACAGCGACTTTCATCTTACTTTCCATCGTCAAATTGTATATTGTATGCAGGGCTGTCTCTATCTTGTGTGAGAGAAAATGGTGAGACTATGAGTCTGTGACTGCATTCAGTGGTGTGACCAATTAAGAATCATTTCTGAGTCTTGTGCTATACTCAGCCATATGCTCACAGGATCCCTCTGCAACACGTTCCGGCTCATTCACACTGCCGCTGTTTATGGAGCAGAGAGTCTTCCGCAGCTGCTTATATTTCATATAATTTAAAGTTGTTATGTTAACATTTCTTTTGGGGGAGTTTTACACTATTGTGATACAATTTTGTACATCGCAGTAATGGAATGCAACGGAGTTTGCTTTGGACCTTGGTGTAGAAGATGTACATTCTTTCTGTATGCTGTATAAAGCAAATTTCCCCTTAAATGTTACATTGTTGCCAAGTGAAGGTGACACCCGAGTGTTTTTTCCCCTTTCACTGTCCTACCAATGTTGTATAGTGATTGTACGTGTTACTTTTTAGACATTTTTGCAACTTCCTTTCTTTTTTCTTTTTTAAAGAAAGTACAATAATAACTGAAAAAAGTGTTAATTATGCATTACAATGTTGTTTTCATGTTTTGCAGTTTTGACAATAAAATTTAACAAAATTATATTCTTTTTGGATTTTCTGTAGTCACTGAACCATTTAGGCTTTGACTGGTATTACATTTCAAAGCGAAACCCAGGAGATGCTCAACATTTTACATATTTGCCTCTGGCTGGGCCTGCAGGTAAGTTTAACTGCAAGGTCACTGCGGCAAGGAGTATCAGAAACATCTATATCAAGTTCCCCTAAAAAGAAAGAACAAGGTAAGAAGTGTACTTTGTTTCCAGTGGTGGAGATTTCATGTACAGTACAATATGTAAAGTTGGCTGTGAAAAGGATACAAAATGAGGGTTAGGGCTCAGTGGTGACTTATCGGATGATTAAAAGAAGTGTTTCCATAAAATAACAACGATAAATTTTTTCTATTAAGGCTTTTAGAACAAAAACGTTCACGTCAGACTTCATCTTCTTGCTTTTCTTGCCTCCACCTAAATAACAGCTACAGTATCCTACCTTGAGATATCTTATTTTTATTTTTCAAAGCACAAGCAGTCTTTCTGTGTGTTATACTTTTACTGTCAGTAGGTGGTGGTAGAGATCAGCAGGTGGGCTGTTGTCACAGTAAGTCCTTCTCAGACATGTGGGCAGCTACACTACATGACAGAAACTGGGAGAACATTTAGATTTTGGCCGAGTCTTAAGTTTGTATTTTTATCATACATTCACACACACACGATATCCCCGTAAGCAATATTAACTTTGTAGTAATATGAGTAAACTGGTGAGGATGTTTCACTTCAACTCTGTCATAAAAAACAAACAAAAACCAACAGACACATTACAGCTAGATGTTAATTTATTACACAAAATAATTGAAAGGCTCAATGTAAGATGATTCAAATAATTATCACTCACAAATTGTACTTAAGACCTGAGATGAAACATGGGAAATCACAACATCACGACCACTGGTGCGGACGAGGGAACCAACAAGAAAATGAACAAGAATTCTTTAACAAAATCACTGCACTGTTTGGGAACACCGTCTTCAAAAAGCAAGAACTGCATTAAATGTTCATTCAAACATTTATTGAATATTTTGGTGTCACTCGGGGAGGTTGATGATTTTAGATAATGCCAGCTCTTGACACAGTACTAATCAGACAGTGTATGACTGTATCACTCACTGGTTGAGAATCACAAATGGCTCTGCAACTACTGTATGCTATCACCCCGCATCCAGCCAGCCGCCTTCTGTAAAATATACTGCTGTCGCACTTTAATGGCACATCTACAGCATTCGCCAGACTGTATGATATCATGGCCATAAATTAGCCCACAATCGTCTATGAGGCAATCGCAGAGGGTGGGAGAAAAGCGAGCTATGAGAGGGAGACAGTTGAGAGAAAGAGAGAAAGCTTAAAAGAGTCAGTGTTTACTGGCGTACAAGCCTCTCCTCCCAACAAGAATTCTTTCCATGTTTCATCACTGCCCACTTGCCCATACACAAATGTCTGTGGAGGGAGGTTGACTCACCTCATGATGTCATTTCCTTAACTTTCACTTGCAATCAGGGTGAGAAACGACATGGTTTGAAATCTGATGGGCTTTAACATACATACGGTATAACACAGTATACGTGTTTACGTATGCTATGTTGCCATGTTTACAGGCCCTAAAAACGTGAATTCAGCAACAACAGGAATAAGGCCACCGAGGCAGGTCAACCTTTCAGCTCCTACTGGGACGCAACACATGGAAACACAGCAAACAGCTTGTTCTGTATTTGAGTACAAACTCTGACTGCAGTGACATTTGGTCCTACTGGGTTCTGTGAGACAGACAGAGTTTCCCAGCAAGAGCTTAGTCAACAGTGGAGTGAAAACTGCCATACAAGGGGGGAAAAAAAGAAGAAAAAATTAGAGTAATTAACGACACTGGCACAGTTAATGATGTGAGAAAACTACACTGCCTTCAGAATCATTCAGCAGGATTGAAGTCATTGATTTTCCAGAGAGGCACTGTAGATTAAAAGAAGCAGAGGTGTTCTGTTCGAGTAAATGAAAGTCTAGGTCAGAGTTTAATAATGAAAACACTAATTTTCCACCTCTGTCGGGTTAGGGTTTCTAAGTCTTTCTTACATGTCTGTCATCCCCTCTTTGTTTATACAATGTTTACATCAACAAAACGTTACAAAACCACTGCAATATAGCATCACTTGACCAGTTACTGCCATAGACTGTATATAAAAGATGGATACAGCTACACATTGGTTTGCAAGGAGCATTTTTGTCATCACCATCTTAATGTTTTGAACCTGGACGAGCAAGAAGTAGATCTGACTAAATAAAACAAAACAAAAAACAAGTAACATTGGACGCTAAAGAATATCCTGCTTCATCTTTACCTTTACGTGTTTTACCCTAAATAGATCATCATTTAAAATCAATTAAAACAATGCCATATTGTTTTAATTGATGCCGATACGACGGCATTGTTTTATCGGACACCAACTGAGACTATAAACTCATCCATGTTTTCTGAAGTCATACAACAAATGCAAAGTAGGATCATTTTCTTATAGACTTCCATACAATCTATGATCTTTTCTTCTTTTTTTAACAAGAGGTGTCGCCCCCTGGTGCCCATTATAAGTAATGCAGGTTTAAGGCACTTCCACACATGCGTAATTTTTTTGTTTTCTTTTTCCACCGGTCTGGGAGGTGACATCCATCTTTATATTTAATCTTCAGTCACTGGTAGCTTCTCTATCAGGTGGCTTTAATAAATAACAAGTTATAATGCAAAAAGAAAAAAAAAAATCACTGTAATCACACCAGAATCTCACATCTTCACAAGGCTTTTCAAGTTTTTTAAGAACTGTATTTTCAGAATAAGAATTATTTTCAGAATAAGAATTCACAATATTTGTTTGAATTAATAAGCAATGTTATGGTTTTGGAAGTTTGTTTTAGCACCACTTGTAAAGGAACAGTACGGTGGCCCTGAGAGGCCAAACGGACTGCAACTTAAGAAAACACCAGAAATAGGAAAAATGACAACGGAAATAGGAAAAAACACAAGGGAAGTGTTTCTGGGGAGACAATAACCTCACGGACCAGTTGCAGGAACCCAAAACATGGTAGGCGTGTTTTATCATGATTCATATAATACTAATGACGGATTTTCAGGCTAATAGTCAGGCTAACACACTTACCTCTCATCTTTTCTTTCCACACAAAACCAATAGATTCTCCACTTCTTTTAAGTGTCTCCCAGTGCAATCTTAGCATATTTTGGTTCCTGCAACTAGTCCGTCGGGTTATTGTCTCCCCAAAAATACACCTCCCTTGTGCTTTTGGAAATCTGTTCTTTGCCATTTCTTTTTTCCTATTTCCATTGTGTTTTGTGTGCTTTTGAAGCATTTTTCTTATTGCTGGTGTTTTCCTAAGTTGCAGTCCGTTTGGCCTCTCAGGGCCACCATAGAACAGAAGCAATTTGACATACAAGAGGAAAAAAAAGTGTAACTGCAACAATCACATTGAGATTTTATATCACATCGTAGCAGGACTTGCTCCAAAACACAGTTCTTGAAGAATTAGTGCATAATTCATTACATAAGCAAACACACAGAAAAATTAAATCACAGTTAAAAGGGTGACCATAAACAATGCACATCAATTGTATCATTTTTATTTGTACCCAAATGATTTCTGAATTAGCTGAATTATTAATACATCTGAAGTCAAATGTTGGTAAGACCATACTGTACAGAGACAACAGCTGACAGGTCCCACTGGGTTTCACCAGCGCTCTGTTCTGTGTGGTTCAGAGTTGTAAACACTGGACAGTAAGTAAGTGTGGTTCTACTAATGTGGTTCTACCTGCTGTGCAGGTTAAAGGGGAAATTCAACATGGCACATGGTTGACTAATCTGATCTGGGATCAGGTCTTTATCAGATACACTTGTAATTAATGACAACAGCTTGTATACAAGTGAAGCAGCATATGCTATTGGAAAATACAAATGAATTAATAAGGAGAAAATTTGACGAACATATTGTATTTTAAATCAACTGAACTATTCTTTCAAACTTTTAATTTTATTTTAGTGTTTTGGAGTGAAAGGGTAGACAGATTACTCCCTTTGCCCCTCAGCAACATTAAACTTCCCTACACCTCCTCTGTATACCAGGATGGTCAAACCTTGGGATCCATGGTGATTAGTTAAAGGCTCCGCGTGGTTACCATGCACTGAGAGACCCCGAGAGACCCCGCTCAGATGTTTGCCTTCTTGTTGATCAGTACAGAGCAGCATGTTAGGCCTCCATCCACTTTGACCTTCTCCAAGTTGGACATGGGTATCAGCATGTGGTCCTTCAGCTTCTCAAACACCTGCAGGACACACAGACAGGAGCGCAGCTAGGAATTAGCTAATTTTCTCTGTTCATTTCAATTAAGTAGAATTAGAAAAGGCTAAAGAACAATCTAATGTGAAGTAGTTAAGTTGGAAGTGGAACATACGTAACACTTAAGTTTGTTTGCTCAGCTTGTCAACTTGTAATTCTCCGTGATATAAAAACTCTGCAGGGAGACGCAAATTGTGAAGAACAAGCATTCAAGCTTTCCTGGTCTCCCGGCAAAATATAAAAAAAGAAGAAGAAAAGAGAGAGAGAAGGGAGTGAGAACTATGACGACATTCTCAAAAGACCCTTGTAAAGTAGTGTGTCACTGTGTGGACACCTTCCAGAAAAAAACTAGCGTTTTCCTACCACACTTCCAAACCAAGACAGTTTTCTCTATAAACTAACTTCAACCCTGCTGTGACTTTCAGTGAGGCCTTATGGCACAGCCAGAGGGACCAACTAAACTAATTTTTATCTCATGATGCAATTTGGCTGATAAAGCCTCTGCTGAACCAGATGCCATGTGTAACCTCACCTCACTGAAGTTCTGTCTAAGTCTTGATTCTTTTCTGGGACATTTTGTGTAACACGGCCAGCAGCACAAATCAGAGCTTTCCTGAAATATTCTCAACATTGGTGCTGACCAGCTATGGACTCCTGTAACAATTATATACTATTTGTTAAAATGTGTTAATTCTTATTTATATGTATTAGAATCAAACTGAGAAAACCTGCTTGCCATTTGCTGTTTTTTTAAGGATCCGCAGGGCTTGAAGTGTGGGGAGTGGCCAGTCTGGCCCAAACTGTGCAATTTGTGCCTTTTAGGGCATTTTAATTGAATAAATGAAATAACATGGTCTGAAGCAGCATGCTCGGCCTGTCCAAGAGGTGCTTCAGGTTCGCTTGTTTGTTTTTTTTCTTAGTCTCTTGGGCCCTAATTACACTTATTTCCAATAGAGACCAGTCTGTAACCATCTGCCAACCACATGAGAAAAATTTCTATCTCCCAATTTGTTGGCTGTGAGTTGCTAAAGTATGCTGGTAGTCACTAGATGAAACATACAGTTCTGTGCTAAATACATCCTTCCTGTTGCTTTGGTCGTTAGCAGATTGCCGAGGTTGCTCATGGTTTGCAGGGAAGAGGCAGAGTGGTTTGTAAAGCAACTGCTGTCAAAAAGTGCAGCAAAAGCTGGAAACAGACAGTTCCCCTTCAAAGTAAACATGGTGGCTGCAATGGTGACTCAAAACGTTCACATTGTTGTTCATTTTTGGCTTGTATTGCACTTTTTCAAGCTTTATTACTGTTTGGGTAGCAGTTAGCAAGCATAAAGTCGGCATCTTCCAAGCAAGCTACAACAGCTAGAATCTGCTTGTGACCAAAGTAATCATGAGGAGGTTTTTGGTGCTCTTTGTGAACAATTATCTATCAACTGTCAGCAACCTCCAGCACCCATTCAACAAGTGGTTAGGGAATACAGATTTTTTCCGTGCTATCACTAGTTGCCAAATAGTGGACAACCCATCTCTAGGGCTTTACAATTACGGATTTACTTAGGACTATTTAGCAAGTATCTGCAGTTTATCGAGACAGGTTTTACTTGACAACATTAGCTGATAACTTGGCACTTTAGCCTTTTGATGAAACATTGCTACCCCCATTCCCCAAAACAACAAACAAACAAACAAACAAAGAAGAAACCCACAATATTGTCACAGATAAAATGCTGAAGTAAAGGCTCAGAACCCAGGGAGTGATGATGGTTAGCTCCATCTTTTATATACAGTCTATGGTCTACAGGCATGGCAGCAATGCTTTAAACTAAGCAACATGCTGACAAGTGTCGTCAGTGAATACAACAGACAACTTAGCCTATTGCTAAAGCTAATAATACAGTTTGATCAATGCACTAGAATTGTGGGGAATATGAATGGGTGCACTTATTGGAAACCTGACCCAAAGTTGTAAAGGTAGAAATAAAGACAAAGTCAAATAAAAATAAAATGAAATAAAAGCTTCATGGGGAAAGAGAGTGATAAGAAAAAATACATTTGAGGTCACTAAAGTTAGAATGATTTTCCCTCTGGAAAACAATCCTGGACTAACCAAGCAGAACTGCCTCTCAAAAACATCTTAAGTTTAGACCATATAATCAGACATAACTCAGGGAAAATTAAGCTTTCACAGTATTCTCCCAACATAACATCACTAAATCCTCTGCTCTTTATAGCACCTCTGAAACCAAAGTCTCTCTTTTTTTGATCATTTCCAGCTGAGTTCTCATTACTTCAGTTGAGATTTATATGCTGGGTCAGGGTGGCATGGTCTCAGCAAAGTAGTAGTTGCTATATTTCACCGGACCTTTTGTCTGCTTAGTTTCGATGTGTCCAAACAGAGCCCTCAACAGCAGCTGCCAGCACTAACCGTTAAAGGTGCCCCATCTCCACCCCCATCCGACCCTACCAATCCTCTCTCATGACCCCCTGCCTTTGTTGATGTGGAACTATTATGTAACTTCACGAGCCAACTAAAAATAGACCGGAGATCAGGCCAGACAGTGTTTAGAATCAGAAAGCAGCAGACATCTTGCAGTGTCTTGGTAATTGTGCTGACAAATCTCTACATCTCACTGAGGGAACAAGCAACAAGTTCCCCTGGGAACTGTACTAGACAGGATAGTCAGTTCAGATAAAACTGCCCTTGCTATATTACGGCTTGTATTATCTCTCGGAGACTGAAAGCATGAATGGAGATTTGAGAAGGTGTGTACTGATATTCATTTTAAAGAACAAGGGTTATGTGCAGAGCTGTAGTAATCACAGAGGGATAAAGTTGATGAGCCATACTATAAAGATATGAGAAAGAGCTGCTGAAGCTGAAGAGTTGTTAAGAAAAGAGGTGATGATCAGTGAGCAGCAGTATGGCTTCATGCTGAGAAAGAGCACTACAGACCCGATGTTTGCTTTGATAGTGTTGATGGAAAAGTACAGAGAAGGAGCTGCACTATGTCTTTGTGTATGTAGAGAAAGCAACCGATAGGGTGCCAAGAAAGGAACTGTGGTACTGCATGAGGAAGTCAGGAATGACAAAGAAGTATGTGAGGCTGGAAAGGACATTTATAAGGAGAGTGAAACAGTGGTGAGGTGTGTAGTAGTAAGAGTGACGGATGGGTTTAAGGTGGGTGTGGGATTACTTCAGCTCTGCGCTCCTTCATGTTTACATTGGTAATGGACATGTTAGCAGATAAGTTCAGGCAGGAATCTCTGTGGACTGTGACGTTTAGAGACAGCATTGTGATTGTAGTGAGAGCAGAGAGCAGGTGGAAGAGATTCCGGAGAGGTTGAGGTATGCTCTGGAGAGAAGAGGGATGAAAGTCAGTAGAAGCAAGACAAGAGTGAGAGGAAAGGTTTAGAAGATGGTAGTGAGATCTGCTTTGATGGATAGCTTGGAGATTGTGGCGAACCCAAAAAACAGGAGGATGAGATGCTCAGATTTTACTTAGAAGTCAGAGAGGCAAGGATGAGATGGTTTGGACATGTACAGAGGAGGGATAGTGGATACAGTGGACAAAGGGTATTGAAGATAGAGCTGGCAGGCAGGAGGAAAAGAAGAAGACAACAAAGAAGATTCATGGATGCCGTGAAGGAGGATATGCAGAGGGCTGGTGTGGTAGTGAAGGATGCTAGACATTGCGTGAGATGGACGTAAATGATCTGCTGTAGGGAACAGCCAAAAGAAGAAGCAGTAGAAGTTATATCTTGTGCTATTAATATTTTTCCCACTCTCTTCAGGCTACAATTTCTAAAAAGACAGTTTTTGGAGCCAAAACTGTGTTCCAGGTCAATTTCTGAAGAATTTGAACCTTTGAAAGGAAACTGGTTCATGGAACTAGCATACATATCTCAAATAGTGCTCCAAATGTTCTGTTAATATGTGCTTTCAAAAAGGGAAGTATGATATGCTCAAGATTTTATTATGTTCAAGTTGAATTCCCTCAGTTAATCTTGTTGACAAAAGTCTTCACTGTGGATTCTAGTCCAAAGACGCATAATTTGGTGAATTTTTCCTTCTAAAAATAGCTGGCGGAGGTTGAGGTTTCAACCACAGAGTACATTTTGAGGTTTGAGTACTGTCTCTGCAGATTGCAGGTTGCCAGGTTCAATCCAGTGAGAATTCTTTTGACTTGTTGTGATGTGGAATGACCCCAAAGCATCTAAATAACAGTTACGGCTCAGCCTGTCCAAACCCCAAAGAGACGGAGGTGAGACAATAACATGTCATTCACGTCAAGCGACTGTAGCAAGTACGTGTAACGGGTGAAAGGCACATCTTGAAAATTAAACAGCATGTAAGTAGGTCACTGCATGTTTCAGAGATATTTGAGAAAGCACGTAGCTGTGTGTATCCGTGTAGTGAAAATGTACACGGCGAGACAGCCGCTGAGCCCACACGGTTTCTCAAAGTTTGTCAAAGACGTTTTATTTGCAATATATTTGATGAATAGAAGTCTAATATTCAAAGGGCAATTAGTCCTGATCTTTCGGGAGAGAAATGTTGGTCTATGAAGTCTGCGACGCTCACCAGCTGGCTGCATATTATGTTGTTTGTGCTGATTGTTGCTGGGCAGCCACAGTGGATTTAACACTTTACATTTGAAACAGGCCAGAGTGAACCAAAACAGTAAAACTGGAAGTCATTGAACCTGTCAATGATAATAAACCAATTGTTACAGCAGCTGATTTGAACAACTTTGCTCAAGTTCTGAGAAAAACAAGACCTCAATGTCTCTGGCTCCTAGCCTGCGGTCTGATGCTCACAAAGGACACTTCTCATCAAACTGCAGGTTCTTTTGTTAAAAAGAAATTACAGCTCTGGCTGCGGTTAGCCTGCATTGGTCCACTAAAACAACCATGTAGCTTTTGTAGGGTTTCTTTCCCCAGTTGTTTTTCTCAGAGGCCTGGACAAGATGAACAACAACAAAGACAAGTGCTCCTTAAATCTAAATCGCTAAACCAATTTGGTTGTTCTGACGGTGGTCCTTCCTGCCAGGATTGTGGATGAATGTGCTTTATCGTCAGTGATACAAAGTTGCTGAATGTGGATGGGGAAAAGCACCTTTGCACTCTCTGGAAACTCCTCTGCTGTGCAGTGTAGAAGCACGTGTCCCTTGCTGGGCAGGTTCATGTAGATGCAGTTGGCGGCGAGGTCGTCGGGTACTGTCAGTTTGTCGTAGCGATGGTCACTCATCTGCTGCATTATCTACGCAATTGGGAGTGAGAAGACATGACAGGAAACAGACTTTGAGGCAAATGCATAAGTGAAAGTCCACATAATGTTCAGAAAGACAGACACAAGCCAGGCCATGAGAGATTTTGATTCAGAAGCGAGGCCTCAATACCAAAAGTCAGCGCCACATCCTTCTGCTGGCCAAACCGCCACAGGGGCCTGGGGGGGAAGGGGGCCGGGTGGGTTAATGGAGAACACAGGAGCAGATAGACATTCTTTCTCAGCAGATGTCATGTTATTTATGTAATCTGAAGGAGCTGAAGGTGGGACCGGCGGTGGGGGCTGAGAAGACGCTCGCGTTGCCAGGTGGAAGTCGGCGGGTGAGGATGTTATGACCAGAGGAGAGGCAGGTGCCTCTTAATGTTTATGAGCAGAACATCTGCAGATGGTTACCTTGGAGACGGGTAAGGGAGGGAAGGTTAGTGAAAAAAAAAAATGTCAACATTCAGAAAAAATATTTTGAGAAGGGAGATTTTTCCCCTGAATTAAACATACATACATATACATACATACACACATATATATATATACACACACACAAACATATATATACACATACACATATCTATCTATCTATCTATCTATATCACTAGCTGGGCCCACGTCCTCATTTTAGTTTTGGCAGCGTTTTAGTAGGTAAAGGCGAAAGCTTGGACATGAATTGAGCTGCGGTTTGGGGAAGGCCTCGAAGAGGACTGGCGACGGCTCCTGGACCTGGCAGATCCCCATGTACTAAATAGAAGTGAAGAAGTTAAAGAACTGAAAAGGGGAGGGAGGGGCACGTAAACAAGGATGAACAGCTGGCAGAACTGGCGGAACCTATATAGATGAGAACCGGAAGGAGTGTGTTTGGAGGCGTGGTCCTGCTCCTGAAATTTCGATAATCTCCAATTACATACAGGCCACTGCACTGCATCCAAAAAGTGTGACGTCTGCTTGACGTACATAAAGGTTTAGAGGAGTGACTGTGAGAAAATGCGATGACACACTACTACAAATGTGGGAGAAAAACTGGTGCTTTGTGAGCACAGTGGGCTTTGTGGCTGTAGATGTTTTCATTTCACTTCCCACTGACAGGATCCATTGCACCAGGGAAGACAAAGGCATATATAGAAATTGGAAAAGGTCAATTACTGCAAGACCATTATATAGAAATATACATTACTCTGAACGTTTTATTATGTCCATTGCATTATAAGTCAAATATACTCACACTACTCACAGAAAAAGAAAATCAACCTTTTTCCAGTGTGAATAGTCACCTATTCCTATCCAAACAGCAAATGTGCTGTTCTAAGTGCTTTCCTGGGAAAGTATTCAGGACACAGGAAATGACACATGTTAGGGTTTCTGGCAGCACCATCATTGTTTGGTCAGGGTAAAGAGAGAAACAAGTGTGCAGTTAGTAAGAGCCAATAGAAAACTTAAGAGATTCATTGTTAAATGGACATGAAATCTCTAGAAGGTGCAGCATGTAAAGCAAACACATTAAGTAACCACTGTTTATATCAACAGAGTTGGTATAAAAAAAGATTTCACTGCGTAATATTATGACTGCTGCATTATAAAAGTACACTAAACTGCCAACAAAGCTACTGTTTTTGTACATCTATCAGCTATAACGAGTTTTTCTATTTACAAATGGTACAAATGGTAAAACATCAGCCACAAATGGCACTCCTGGGCGCAGGGCTGCGGGACGAAGCACAGCAGTGTGCGCACATATGTCGGCAGATGCGTAATCAGACATTCCCAGGTCACTCGTGGGAGTGTCATGTGACTGCAACTGCCCTAAATGAAAACACTCAAGTCCATAGGGTGAGGGCCAACACGGTCTGTGACACACGCGAGTATTAAGAGTGAGTAAAATGTCGACTCCACCTAAGATCCCAGTTGTTCCTGCTTTACTCTTCATTTTCTCATTAAATTCAAGGGGAAATATGCGCATAAGGGAAATGACATACAGCAAGATTTCCTCATGTTTCATGTAAAATTTTGATCCATGAAATTCAATTAAATCCTCACCTGACTAATGAAACAGCTGGTTTTCTGTTCACTGCCAGACGCTGCAGCCAATCAATATAGGGGGCAGACCTCTTTTGTGTTTTTCTAAACTTAAAGATTCTTTAATTGAATCAAATCTTAAGCCTAAAGAACTGAAACGTATGGGAAATTATCCTAGATACCTTTACACAATAGTGGCTTTTAACGTCGTCATTCTGGATCTTCACCAAGTGTTAAACTACAGTCAATCGACACAGACTTAATTCGAACAATGGCTGAGGTCCAGCTAATGCACAAGAGTGGTAACTGGGCAGCAAAATGTAGTCATTCAAAAGCTACTCGAACTAAATATTTACTGGATGGTAATAAAATCCCTCTGGGGCAATGACAAACCTGAGCAGTCTAGAAAAACACCAACAATTTCCAGAACCTTATGTGGGAATCAGCAGAATCTTTATCTTGGCACCTGGTGTGAACATTTCTAATGCTCACTTTAGCAATCCTTCCCAGAAACTGCTTAAAACTTATGCAATATACTAGCATGCAGCTTCCAGATCTGGACAGGAAATGAGACTGAAATTGCTTCCTGTTGATGGACCATAAATGTTTGGTATTACTGGTCTAGTATTTTATTGCTGCAGTGTAATGTTTTCAGTGGAAAAGTACACAGAAAAAGGAAACGCAGGGGGAGGATGCAGGAAATTTCAGATGACATTTATCTAATGTTTAAGGCTGCTGCTATCGGTGTCTACAGCTGATTCAGGGACACAGTGGTATCACAAGAGGAAACCTAGAACATGCTGTGAAGGTCTAGATCAGGGTGTCAAACTTGTTTTACATTATGGGCCACATACAGCCAGAAAAAGAAGTACAGTTCCACTGATATGTCTTGTTTTCGCTACATGATAAGAATAAGAATAAGAAATAATTGTTTAAATTTACAGAAAACGTTCTGTTAGTACACGGCGCAGACTGTCCTGTAATTATTACATTTTTGTTTTTCTTTGTTTTTTCTTACTGAGTAAAAATCTGGGTTTTTTGCTTTGGATTTTTTACTTATTTATTTTGATATGCACATGGGGGAGGAAAAGCTATAAAACCACTTTTTCCAAACCCTGGTGGGCCGATTCTGGATCTTGGGCCTTATGTTTGACACCCCTGGACTAGATAGTAATGCCAAGTTTTATATTTGCTCAAACTAAAATATTGCGACAGCTATCAGGTGGATTGCTGTTCAATGTTGTTCGGACAATCATGGTTCTGAGGTGATATAAAGTCAACTTAGCTCTAGATTTTTATCTATGACTGTTTTACATGGTAACAGTGGTATGGAGTAAGTATGTAGTATGGGAGAAACAGAACAAGAAACAAAGCTTCAATATATAAATAATCCAAATCTGGAACCTACATTCTCCAACACTGGATTTGGCCATCAAAAAAAAAAATCTCCAACAGAACCTTCACCATGCCGTCACCTCATTATCTATAAAATTCAAGCGTGCAAGCATCCTTGAGGTGAAGATCAGACTCTGACCAAGAGAGAGCAATGAGCTCATGAATCAAGCTAGGCTGGGTGAAGGGGCCACTGATGATCTACAGCCTGCCGGGCAGTCTGCTGTAGGAAGGAGGGGGGTAGTGCGAGATTACAGGGAAAGGGTGCTGCAGCCTCTGACACAGGCTGTATTTTGGGATGATGACTTCATGAGAAAAGCTTGACAGTGACAGCAACAGATGGATGATGAAATCCATCCGGTCATTCTGCTAAACACAGATACGCGGTGCGCTCAGCCTTCCTGAGCATAGCCGAAATACAAACTACAGATCGTCGATGCTATTTTGTGATTGCAAATGAGTAATGCGTTACTCAACCCCGTAATAAAAATAAGGGCAGGTCCAAATTTTCTTGAACGCCAGCAAAGCGCAGCTCCCTAAAGACAGAATGAATTAGCTGGGCTCCAACTTTAATTTGCACAAAGTGTCTGCTGCATTCGACAAGGAGCCTCGTCGCCAGAAGAGCTGCATCTACATCCCAAACGAACAGTTTGGATTCATTAAATCTGCATTCATAAGATCTCATTCTCCCTCACACAAAGAACATTATCTAATTACAAATCCAGGGCTGTTAAAGGCCCTTTAAAACAGGAGCTAATTGCTGCGAGAGAGAGGGTGACGTAAGCCATAATTAGAAAGCGAGCAGTCTGTCATTAAGTTTCGCTAGCGGCCACTCTTCGCCCCAGTAGCTAATTACTGGAGTGATCAAACAGGCAGGAATCTTAATGAGCTGGCACTGGATTATAAATTAATTCTATTATGCAATGATGCATAGGTTCCTGGGAACACTTTAGCAATGCAAACATGCTTACAAAACCAACAGGGCCAACCTTGTGCTTCTCTCGAGTACTTCAGCCTTCTTAGGAAGAGCTGCCTGATGTTCTCTGAGATACACTAAACGACTTTTGCTTGATTTACAGTAACTCTGTTTAGTACTGAGCCAGCAGGGGGAGATATCATACTAGAAGGCAAATGAGGAATACTGCCAGAGGGAACCTGTCAAGCCCAAAGGTGTATGTGCTTGCCTGTAAGTCTTCATACTTATGTAATTATATATACACTGCCTGCCTTTGTGTTGTGTAAATACACATTTCGCTGAATTTCTCTTGTTTGTGCCACTGCAAAAGTTCACATGCTAATGTTTGGGAATTTTGGGGGATAATTCCATGGGAGGGATGGGCCGAGATTTATTGCACTCTCGGTGCAAACGAGCGATCCGTCTCTGTCGGGGTGTAAGCCGTCTCCTCTGTTCGGTCTTGGCGGTCCCCAGGTTTCTGTTGTTGGAGCTCGATCGATACAGGAGCCTTTTATGCAGTAATGAGCTCAAGCTGTTTAATGGAAGGACAATACAGTCGTAATTGAAGCTGGAGTGTGAGCGCCAGGGGCAATCCCCGCAGATTAGCTGAGAATATGAATTAATGGGGATGGATTTAGGTGACAGGTGGTTTCAATGTGCCTGGAGTGGGAAGCCGCCAACAAACTGTAAGTAAGGGAGTCTGCTCTGAATCAACACGTGCAATGTCCTGTCTTGTCGCGTTATTCTTTCAGGGTTGTTCATACTAACGGATCAAGCAGAATGTCAACCAAACGATGAAACAAAAAAAAAAAAAAAGGAAAAAGGATCCACTACTTCAATGTGCGTCAAAGTAAAGAAAAGACTGCCAATACATCAATTCACAGGTTTCCATGACTACAGCTAGGGAGAGCATAGTTACGGTGTACATACATAAACACACATACACAAGCTCCATACTTTGAGGGCTTTCTGTGCTGGTTCACTGGAGCCGATTACAATAAGGCCTGGTCCTCCCATGCTGCAGAAGCTCTTCAGGTGCAGGCCTTCGAGCACAGGCACAGTGGAAACAGCATAGTCCTGTAAAACACAATATCATTACAAACGCTTAATAAGCTCAAATAACATGACTTTCATTTCATGATGATAGGACAGGGTCAGGTAATGCTAATCATTTGGGGCTTGTAGCTTTAAATATTTAACAGGCTTTCTCATCACCTGCTAACAGGTTTCCTCAAGTAGTTCTTTACTGATAAGACAGAGCTTTTTATCTGAATGTGGGTGAACGAACGGTTTTAAACAAATGATACAAAAGCACGTTACTACTCAGCAACAATGCTTCTCCATCCATTAAACTACAGTACAACAATGAGCTAAAACATCATTCATTATAATATAGGGCTATATGTATATGTGTGTGTAAAGTTTTACTGTAGATTGTAAAAGCTCAGCAGTGATCTGTGTGGTATCATGGGGCCTAAAGTGGCATTGAAATAAAGTATTGTACAGCTCAGTAGCGGAAAAAGCAAGATGGTCTGAGAGATGCTGTTGATCTCAGGGCTCATGGGGAGATTACGCAGCACCTTGTAGGAGCCAGTTCTTAAAGGCTTTTTCTGGCTGTGGGACGTCTGCAAACCAAATGTTGCCATTAAAAGTGTTACAAAAACACACGTTACATAAAGGGTACTTAGAAGAACTGGCAGCGATAACAGTTTTATTAACACCTGGATGCTGGTTGGTTTTCACAGAACCCCTGGAACGTTTCAAATGTTAAGTGTCTTACGTAAGAATCGCTTTAAAGATACTGCTAAACATCCTCATTTGTTAAGACTGTGTGGGAGGGTTTGATTGGATTTATAGCGACATCGTGACTGCCATCGCATTTTTCTTTACACGTTTTTAAAACCTGATTGGTGCACAGAAATGCAAAACTCGGCCCTGCCTGCCAGTGACCATAGCTGTTTAAACTAAGGCAGAGAACTTTAGCGTTCATGCAACCACTTCTAATGAGAAAAAGAATCATACAGGCTTCTAAAGCTCCGACCCCAAGGATAAAAAACAATAAAAATAGGATTAAAGAAATCCTATCTGACAGCTATATGGCTTGTTTTTGCAGATGAACAGAACTGTTTTGGAACCTATAGTTTTACATTTACCTTTAGCCTTTAACGGTTGATTTTGGACTAAGAACTCTCATTAAAACATCCGTTGAAAGCCGCCTTCTTTGCAAGGATTAAAGCCTTAAGGCCACGTTGGAGTTGCAGCATATTTAACGGAAATATTGTTTTACCCCTGACTTTGTTTTGTTTTACCCAGCAGAAGGAATCGAGCGATTAAACATTAGATGCAAGGACTCAGGCCTTTATGTGGGAGAGACTTCTTAAGCCGGAGACGGATCCTACTGTGATTCGTAAACCTTGAAGTGAGACCAAGATGCAATTTAAAATCTGACAGGATAAAGAGACTCGAAGCTTATTTTCTAAGACCTTTTGTTCCTGAATACATTTGGATGACCTTATAAATTCAACTTCGCACCTAAGAAAAGAACTTTTCCAACAGACATCCATGTGTTTTCTTAATCACACAATGTGTTTTGAAGGGGTTTTTATAGCGTTCAGCTTCATAAAACTTACAAAGGAAGTGTACATTTTCCATCATTACACCCCATTTTTTCTTTCAACTATATGCTAACAGTTTTCAAGTAAATATTTGTATGGCACCAATAAAACGACACCATAATTCACCCAGTTATTGTGACTTCATCACACGAAAGACCTAAATTACCCCCTTTGCTGATGTCTTCCTAATTTCCAGTGAGAACAACTGAATTGTATAATCTTTTTATCATTCCTTATCCATAAACAGGAAGTTTCTGTGCAAAATTGGAAATGCAAGTCATGCATTCGTCCTTACCAAGATAAATCCTTAAGGGAAGAAAGGCTTGCTTTTCATCTTCACCAGCTGCCATGTTGTTAGCTGAAAACATGACTGACTGAAGAAAAAAGGTAAAGCAAGCTGAGCTGGTCAGCACTTCTTACCCATGGCAGAAAAGAGGCGGTTTAACCTCTATATTACTTCCAAAATAAACGGACCCCATCAATAACACCAATTACTCTGACCTCTGTGCGGACCATAAAGAGATAATCAACATCTGTATGCAGTTGTGGAGTAGGCTACTAAATAACCTGGCAACAAAGTGATCCTTAATTTGAAAATGAAAGGAAAAAACAACAGCGACAGGAGAAATCCATCTGATATAAAACGGAAAGAACAACAATTGACGCTTAAGTGATTTTTCCTACTGTCTTTTGCCAGAGACGCATCATTAAGTCCTGTCTTATCAGAGATAACAGAAAACACAGAGGAATCCATAATGAGGAATTCAAATCAGATACAGATGGGAAGATGGAAGCACTACAGTAAGGCCATTCAGGCTATGGTAATGCGTTCAACTCTTGAACAGTATAACCCACCTCTGAACTTGTGTGTTAGCCAGCTTTTTGGATTTGTCATGACTGTTCAGAGGGAATCCAAAAGTGTTACGAATAGGTCAAGCAGAACATCTTCACTTTAAAAGAACAGCCAGCAGGATAGACAGGTTCAACCTTTGTGACCAACCACTGTGATCCTGTTTGCAGCCTGCATGTCCAAGTCTTCCCTGAAGCTAATCTCTTGGTTTAGCTTGAAATATTGCTTTTATGTTGTATTTTTTTCCCCATGGATGTAGTAGTGAAAAGCAAGCCATGGCTAACAAATCTGCATGGAAACTGAGTGAATCTCTAGAAGTCCTCTAAAGGCACCGAGTAGTTTAAAGCAGCATTTTTTGATCTAGGAGTATCTTGACAATGTTGTCTGGCCGTAACTATTTGGCCCTAACAAAGCTGCTTGGGACTCCACTTCTGTCTAAGAGGACAAATGTTTCCTCAGCTATATCTCAGAACACTTTATGCACAACCTGATGGAATAAATGAAAACTAAAGGTTTGGGGGGGGAAATTTGACTACAACGTAGCCCACAATTAGCACAATCCAATGTTATTTATCTAAAAGCTCAGTAACACAATAATGAATTAAGTATCTAGAATGAAGCACAATTAATGATGATGGCACTATCGATTTACATCAGCATTTTCTAATTAGGATTTATTTATAACAAACAGAAACAACCTCATACCACGTAACACATTACACCCAACAAGTGGTGTTTTTTTCACGTCTTTCTCTGAGAAATTTAATTGGCATAAAGAAATTAATCTCTTATTAAACTTCATCCATCGATTCTCTTCCGCTTATCCAATTTTTAGAGTCACAGCGGGGCTGAAGCCGATCCCAGCTGTCACAGGGCGAGAGGTTGGTACACCCTGGGCAGATCCCTGATCTGTTGCAGTGCAAACACAGAGAGATAGAAAACCATTCGCACTCACATTAACACCTATTGGGCAATTTAGAATCACCAGTTAACCTAACTAGCTGCACGTCTTTGTGCTGCAGGAGGAAGCCGGGAAGTTTCTTTTTACCTGTGATAAAACTTTTGATGGAATTGTGAATGTCCTACAAAAAATGATTGCCCGAAAACTGTGATTACAGTTTTCCAGTAATGTAACACGTAACTGTCCTCAATTTGGACATAGCATCAGCTCTTTGTAAACATCTGGACGGCTAACACAAAGCTAGCGGAATAATGTTAAAGCTGAGTGTATGCAGACCCCAGATACGTCTATATTGTCAGTTGGTAATTATGTGGCAGTGTGATTCAGGCCACTTTGCTGAGAAGCATAAAAATATTGTAAAGGGAAGTGTAAAAAATACTTTCTTCAGAGAGTACTGAGTAATATTTGATACATTGCTTTTTTGAGTAATGACACTGACATGAGAATGCTGAGTATGAGAATAACAGTGTGTCATCACTGCAGTGATGAGTGAATGGAATGATTGAGGTTAATAATGGGACAGGAAGAAAGTGCCTGTGAACTAATTAAGAGGTTTACTCACCCAAATCAGCTTCATTTGTGTCATCAATTACTTTCTTTAATCATTATATACAGAGGTGGCAGAAGTTTGCACCAGCACTCGATTAAAAATGCCTCAAAGGCAGATGAAATCTGGAACTAGGATCAAACTCTTAATTGCTACAGGGACTTTTTACAGCTGCACTAATCAATACTCTCAGAGCGCAGTGGAGCTTAATAATAAAAAGTAGAAAGACCTTTTAAAACTTTATTTATTTTTATTCAGTGTTACACCCTCCTTTATGTATATATTTTGGGATTCAGAACTCATTGAATGCTAATGCTGGCTTACAATAAAAAGGGCTAATGTACCTCCATGTACACTCAGTGGGATGTCCTGAAAGGGTTTTCACATCTCCTAGCAACAACTGGTATTTTTTATGTCCACAAAGTAGCCTCAATGCTGACTGGTACATCGGATGTCCTCAGAGGGATTTGCAAAGTGAATACAGCAAAGGAAGAAGTGAAAGCAGAGATGGAAGACTATATACGATGAAGATATATAATGGCTCAAAAGGAAGGAGTGAGGCAGAGATGGATGGAGAACAAAATGGAATCAGAGAAAAAAAGGGCAGCAGAGCTTAATGAAAAAAAAAAAAAAACCAAGATGGAGTGATGATACTATTACCCTCCTGGCCTAAAGCCTCCATGATTGATATCATATTTATCTCCTCCTTTCTTGTTTGAGATTTATAATTGCTTGCAGAAGGCTTTAAAGAAAAAGATTATTAAAAAGAATGTTTTCATATTGTCAAGTCAAGTCGGCTTTATTGTCATTTCAACCATATACAGCTAGTACACAGTGAAGCGAAACAACGTTCCTCCAGGACCAAGGTGCTACATGCAACATAAATTTACAACATAAATTAACAGAAAACACTAAACTAGCTAACTAAGAGGCCTAGTTAGCTGGCTAGCAGAGACAAGACAGACTGACCTAACATAAATTACAACATAAATTAACAAAAACTAACTAACTATCTAAGGAAGACTTTTTTTTGTTAACAGACAGCAGACAACAAAGTGCACGTGCAAATGTGCAAACAAGAGCAACAAAGTGACAGTGTGACAAAAAAAAACACAACGTAACATAATAATAAGGTTTTGTGATGATGAGTTGAGGTAGTGGAGGGACAGTAAACATTCCTTAGTGCAGCAGCAAAAATTAGGAAGTAAAGAAGTTAGTGCAACAAGTCCAGTAATAATACTGCGCAAAAGAGCATTTACAGGTTGGTGTGTACGATGGTTTGGTGGTGTAGGTCAGTGTGTTTGCGCTTGTGTTGATTAGTCAGTCCAGTCTCAATGTTTTGAGGTAGTTGAGTTAAGCTGAGTGATAGTTAGTGTGTGTGTGTGTGTGTGTGTGTGTGTGTGTGTGTGTGTGTGTTTATCAATCCAGTCCCATTTTGCTGAGGAGACTGATGGCTTGTGGAAAAAAGCTGTTGCACAGTCTGGATGTGCGTGCCCGAATGCTTCGGTACCTTTTTCCAGATGGCAGGAGTGTGAAGAGTGTGTGAGAGGGGTGTGTCCGATCAGCCACATTGCTGGTGGCTTTGCAAATGCAGTGTGTGGTGTAGATGTCCTCAATAGAGGGGAGAGAGACCCCGATGATCTTCTCTGCTGTTCCCACTATCCGCTGTAGGGTCTTGCGGTCCGATATGGCACAGTTCCCAAACCAGACAGTGATGCAGCCACTCAGGATGCTCTCGATAGTTCCTCTATAGAAGGTGGTCAGGATCGGTGGTGGAAGCTGGGCCTTTCTCAGTCTTCTCAGAAAGAAGAGACACTGTTGGGTTTTCTTGTGCAGGGAGCTGGTGTTGAGGGACCAGCTGAGGTCCTTCTCCAGGTGGACGCCCAGGAATTTGGTGCTGTCGACGATCTCCACAGAGGAGCTGTTGATGCTCAGCGGTGAGTGGTCGCCTCGTGTCCTCCTAAAGTCAACAACCATCTCTTTTGTCTTGTCAACATTCAGAGACAGGTTGTTGTCTTTACACCAGTCCGTTAGCCTCTGCACTTCCTCTGTACGCTGACTCGTCGTTCTTGCTAATGAGACCCACCACGGTCGTGTCATCAGCGAACTTAATGATGTGACTTGAACTGTGTGTTGCTACACAGTCATGAGTCAGCAGTGTGAACAGCAGAGGACTGAGCGCACAGCCTTGTGGGGCCCCAGTGCTCAGTGTGGTGGTGCTGGAGGTGCAGTTCCCGATCCGTACTGACTGAGGCCTTCCGGTCAGGAATATATTTAGGAAATATATTTGAGATACTACTTTTACTTCTTATGTAATGGATCAGTTGTGAACTTTTCCAGTGACAAGCCTTTACTTTTGCTTGAAACAATGGATTGAATTAGAATTGTGACTACAGCTTCCCTCACCTACACAGAACATTTGATGCTTTTCAGCCTATTATCTTTAGGTACAATTCATCCTCAGCCACTTCCCTTCTTTCCCGATCATTTGTAGTTGAACAAATGTTGAGCATTCGGGATCTTAAACATTATTCCTGACACTTTGTTTCAGTCCATGACAAAGACTTTTTAAACAAAAAGAGACTTCTATCTTCTTCAGTGGCCACACGTTACAAGCTAAAGAACCAACAGCAGCACAAACAAACAAGTGTAGCCCACATTCACCAACTTATTTGCATTTCCATGCAAGAATGCAGGCACTACTTTGCTACATAAATTCACCTTAAATGCATCTGCTAAGATCTCTGCTCCTCTCTGATTGGTCCGTTTGGAAAGTCCCACGAAGAACTCTCGACCTGTAGAGAGAATCTTTTAAGTATGTGAACAGAAAACCAGCAATACAGCAAGCATGAGAAGCTACAGTAGCAGAATACTCCAGACAGCACACCGTGTACTTTATGCATGCCTGCGAAGGGGGGCCAACTGTGGTTAGTATGGTGGCACATAGGCAGAAAGCCTTGAATGCCTGGCGAGGTATTGAGCAGCACACTGAGCTAAGGGATGGGCTCCTAATGTTGCTGCTGAGCCTTTACACTATAAGCCATTAGCACATGCCTTGCCAACAGGAAATGTTTCTAGCTCTGCCATGTGAAACCAATTTCAGCTGGAAGGAACAACAGCACAGAGCCAGTGTCTAGAAACCCAATTAACTGTACTGTGCATTTTCCTAGTGGTCTGTGAAGCGGAGAAGATACTGACCCACATTTTAACTCACGACTGTAAGTGAACATACAGAAAATCGAATAAAAGACCACCATGCTCTTGCTTGCACCGTGGTCTTACTGTGCAGAATGGCACATGACGGTTTTGTTTGTCGGTGGGATGTACAGCTAGGTTCACTGAGGCACCGGGTCATCGAGGTCACATGGAGGAATGCCTGTGTGGAGGATCTCAAAGCACAGATGCATATTTACAGACACGCAACTGTCTGCTCACAGAGTATGAACTAGAGGCTACCCTCTGCCATTTCACTACATTTCTAACAAGTAGAGTAGTCCTCATACAACCTAAACACAGCAAATCACCAAGTTCTATGTGTTGTTAGTATGCCTGTGAAGGTTCAAAGTCATCCAGGTCATCATAGTAGAAGATACTGAAGGTCTGGAACTGAAGGACCTTAGAACTGAAGAAGCTTCTCGGATGAGAGGTGAAACATCTTCAAGCAACTTAAAGAAGTCCAGGCACTTTTCTTTCCAAGCTCCTTAGACTATGTGTTGTTAGCTACAGAGTTTCTCCTCATCCCTTAAGATATTTATTCCAACAGTCATGACTTCAAATTTGCATGATATGAGACATTTCATGCTTTCAAAGACTTTGTTTTAAATATAAAGATAAAGGCCTCACTGTCAAATTTGTGTTTGTAATTATTTTAAACACTTTTTAAATACTTAATTGCACCGTATACAAAAATGTAGGTGGCCTTAAAAAGGTAACTTAAACAAAATGGTGAATGGCTGAAAAGCATGTCCAGCATGTAAAAGGCACTATTTGTTTCCAGATGATAGCATTATACTATATTTCTGGAAACAAAAGGATCACATGACTCCTCTTTACCTCTCTCTGTGACACAACAGGTTGGCCTCTGGTCATACACATTAATCTGTAGCAAAACAGCCATTCCTGAACCTCGATGAATTCAAACTACAAACTAAGGACTTGGGTTTCTTTGTGAAGTTTTTTTTTTAACCTGTACAGGTCTAAGTAAAAAAGTAACTTCCTCAAACTGCTCAGTGAACCATTTGACTGCACGACCCCCAGTTATTTAAAATGCAATTCATGAATGAACTGCAAGAGATTAAATATCAGGATGCTGATATTTACAGTGGATGAAATAAGTATTAGATCTCCTGCTGAATTTGTACATTTATAGTCGCAGACTGGAGAAACCAGTTGGCAAGCACAGCATTAAGATGTTTCCACCAGGTGTGCACACATCTCAGAAGAGATTTTGGGCCGCTCGTCTTTACAAAAACTCTCTAAATCTTTTAGGTTTCTTGGCCGCAGCTTGGCAATTTAAAGCTTCAGCTCTCTCCACAGGTAGTTTTTCTCTGAATTGTTTAGATGTTCACTCACAAACTTAAGATGAGCCTGTACATGTGCCTCCTTGAGCAGGGGGAGCACTGCAAGATTTCAGTCCATGTGCATAAAAGTGTTTAGATATTTTAAG